GGTAACCCCGATTATTGCTGACTTAAGCATCGGAGTGTCTACCCCGAGGTCCACCTCGGGGCTTTGCAGGTACATCCGAAGTGAAAATGCGGACTGAAGAAGGATCTCTGGTTTGGTGCAATTACAAATTCATGTCCAAAAAATCAAAAAAATCAAATTAAAAGCACTAAAGCGGAAGGGAGAAAGTAATATTCTAGAAGGTTAATCCCTCACGGTCTGCTAACTTCGAATGGTACTGTTCTGTATGTATTCAAAGGGTCTGTGGTAGTGGTTGAAGCAGTAGTAAAATTATCAAGGATGATGGTGATTGACACTGTAATGTGTGAAAGTTTAGAACAACGTAACAACTAGTATTGTTTTGGAATACTAGTTGTTGACTTGAGATGAAGTCTATGCGCGTTTTATTGCATTTTGGAATTCCCTGCCGCCATGATTGATAATTCCATTTCCACCCTTGAATCTTGATAGCCCCCTTTCATGTTGAAATGAAGTATGGACTGAAAAAATGATGCTGCAAAAATTTACTTAAATCTTACTTTTGTGTTGCCTGTTTAACAATTAAAAATGGTTGTTATATAGAATGTTGATCAATTCAAGATTAAAGATATAATAAACTAGTGGGTGTGTTGCCCTGCTTATTAGAATTAAATACAAGGGAAATGGTTGTGAATTTGTAATGAGTGATAAAACTTGTAATTAAAAATATTGAAGGGTTTAGCTTTTAGCTCTTGACCTTTCGCTTTACAGCCTAGACCCCACTCATTAATTATGATCATACATGGAAGGGCTGTGATGAAATATTGAAATGTACTGTCTTTCTGGGCATAATGTGGAGCAACATAAGTGCTCTATACATTTTCTACCATATCATTTAACCCAATAATGGGAGGAAGAGCGATAAGCAGGAATAGCTTTTGCTGTTTTTGTGTCCTGAAGTATGCTCTGTTCTTTATATTCTGTTTGCTCTCCTTCCCTTCCAGCACCGCAAGAGACACAATTACTCCAAAACAGAATGTTACTGATGGAGAAACCCTTGTTTCTGGTCAAAAAGTCTTTGAGTTGGGATTCTTCAGTCCTGATGAAGGGTCTCTAAATAAGCGTTACTTAGGCATATGGTACTATGGAATTCAGCCACGGACGGTTATTTGGGTTGCCAACAGAGAGAAACCAGTTCTGGATTATCATGGAGTTTTTGCTATGAGAAATAATGGAGAGCTCCAAGTTGTGGATGGGAAAGGACAAATCCTTTGGTCTTCGGCATATTCAACTCCAACTGCAATCAGGGTTTTTCCAGCAGCTACACTCATGGATAATGGGAACCTAGTTCTGCAAGGAGTTGATAACCCATGGGAAAGTTACAAGCAAGAAAGTAATACATTTCTTCCCGGAATGAATATGGAAAACAAATTTCTCAGATCTTGGAAAAGCGGCAGCGATCCGGCTCCTGGAGATTTCACTTTTGAAGTAAATAAAAGATGGAACCAGTTTATGATTCGTAACCGCAGTTCTTCAGATCCTTACTGGGAGAGTGGTTGGTCACCGAATTTAGTGAACTTCAATGAGGTGCCTAATTCTGTGCTCGAGTTCATGTTCCGAGACAACAATTTTAGCGCACTCTTGATTACGTAAAGACTGCCAGACTCGTGATGAATTCATCTGGCCAAATAGTGTTCTATAAACGGAAAAAAAATTCGAGTTGGTACTCATCTTGGAAAGCACCAGATCCAGAGGATGGATGCAGTAAGTATCAGGTCTGCGGGAGCTACGGTGTTTGTAACAACGTTACAACCGAGTCGAAATGCGAATGCTTGAGAGGGTTTATGCCAGACTCGGAGGTACAGTGGAAATCCGGAACTACTCTGGCGGGTGCAGGAGGAAAGAACCTGAAGGCTGCGGGAAGAATGACTACTTTGTGAAAATAAGTTTGGCCAAAGTTTGGCATCCGGATGATCTTTATCAGGCCAATAGTGAGCAAGAATGCCGCGAAGAGTGTAAAACGAAATGCTGCAATGCTTACTTGTTTCAACCTATCCAAGGTCGATTGGCAGAGTCATCTACCTGCTGGACATGGAGCAGGGATATAGCTCTGAAGGATCTCAAGATCAGTAATACTGAAGGAGTAGGAAGAGATTTATGGGTCCGTGTCGCGGATAATACTGCTCCTTCAGGTATGCATTTCAACATCACTCAATAGTTTATTCTTTGTTGTTGTTCTTGGCGCTACTTTTGAAACTCAGCTTATTGGTAAATTTGTTTTGGTTTCAATTAGGAAAATGTGACACACAAAATACATCATGCATACAACCGGAGCACACCTGCAACAATTTACTAGAAGATTGCAAGCAATGGCCCAATTCGATCTGTGACCTTAATGCAGGACGGGATGGAGAGGGAAGATGCGTTTGCATTTCAAGCTTCCATTGGGTTTCCAAAGCTTGTGTTCCTGGTAATTCAGACTTCTGTCATTATGTATAGAGTGACTAACCATTTTAGTTAATGTACTGCGAATTGTGGAGAACCCCCTAGCTTTCACATTGTATTTGTTGCATGATTGATGATACAGGTGAGGAAAATCCCCCAAAACAAGAACCACAACATAGCAAGCCATTATTGTTCATAATTATTTTAAGTAACACAGCTGGAATAGTTCTTCTTCTCGTTGGATTTGGTTGTTTGTGGAGGAGAATGGCTATAGGCAAAGGTAAGCAAGGCTTTAGTCCTTCCTCTGAATAATGAAAACTTGTTCACTCTGTTCAACTTTCCACATTATCCGTGTTGAAAACTCTAACAGGAGGTCACAAAATTAGGTCAAAGGAATTCAATATTTCAGAACCAAGAAAGTGATCATGGTGTGAAAGAATTACTTGGACTTGATGGGTTCCCAGAAGACAGGACAAAGAGCATAGATGTTCCATTTTTCAGTTTTGAAATGATTGTAGCTGCTACAGATGATTTCTCCGTTTCTAATAAGCTTGGACAAGGTGGATTTGGGCCAGTATACAAGGTAAGATTCTTTTCCAGAACTACTTTTGATGAACTAATTTCATCGCATGTGTAGCAAGTTTTACCGATGAAATTGGCAGGGCAAGTTCCCTGGGGGAAAGGAAATAGCAGTGAAGAGGCTCTCAAGGAGTTCTGGCCAAGGCTTGGAGGAATTCAAGAATGAAGTTTTATTGATTGCCAAACTCCAACATAGAAATCTAGTACGACTTCTTGGTTATTGCATGAAAGGAGATGAAAAGATGCTGATCTATGAGTACATGTCCAATAAAAGCTTGGACGCCATTATCTTTGGTAAGAGCAAGACCAGATAAACTCTTCAAAAAAATGTATTTCTGCATTTCTTAATTCGTATTGGAGAATCTGATATTGGGAACTTTTTAGATCCGGACAAGGGTCAATTGTTAAACTGGGAAATGCGGTACAATATTATGGTTGGAGTTGCCAGAGGACTTTTGTATCTTCATCAAGATTCTAGGTTGAGGATTATTCATAGAGATTTGAAGACCAGCAACATTCTACTAGATGAGGAAATGAATCCTAAAATCTCTGACTTTGGAACAGCACGAATATTTGGAGGAAAACAAATTGAAGCAAATACAGCTCGAGTTGCTGGCACGTAGTAAGTTATTCAACCTAATGTATCTGATGTCTCACTTTTCTTTACTAATTTTTGAACCCCTTTCAATATAACATTGAAATGCAGTGGCTATATGTCCCCAGAATATGCAATAGAGGGACTCTTCTCAATAAAATCTGATGTCTTCAGCTTTGGGGTTGTTGTCCTTGAGATCATATCTGGAAAAAGAAATGCATTATTCTATCACAATGAACAAGCCCAAACCCTTCTAGGATATGTAAGTGCTAAAATATTCTATTTATATGTACCTTCATTTTCTTTATTCCTTATTCTTAAGACTAAAGCATTGCTGCAAATTTCCAACCAGGCTTGGAAACTATGGTATGAAGACACAGGATTGGATATGATGGATCCATCTTTGCACAAAGACTATAATGAAGGACAGGCATTGAAGTGCATCCAGATTGCGCTGTTATGCGTACAAGATGATGCAGCTGATCGACCAACTATGACTGAGGTAGTGTCCATGCTTTCTAGTGAAAATGTTGTTGTTCCCAATCCTAGACAACCAATTTTCGTCTCCAAAAGGTTCTCCGAGACCCTTGCTTCTTCCAGCAATCAAGGAACTCAGTCTAACAACGAACTAACTTTCACTTCTGAGGGTAGATAATATATATTATAGACTGTATCCCCTTTCCAAAAACAAGATGAATTATGTAGATGAATCTGGATTGTACTTATGGATTTTCATTATGTGTATCCTATTGGCTAAGGGCCTCCCCTGTCTCCAGCCAAAGTAGCACCTGATAGAACAGTGAATTTTACATAGATACTCTAAGCTAAGGTTGAAGCCATGTGATATAATTTGTCTTTTTTTATTTTGGTAGATAATGATTAGAAGTTAGAACCACTCAAAATTGTATAATGTAAGAATTAGTCAAGTTTGTCTTTAGATGAAATGGAGTTTTGTACTTTTGTGCTCTTATGTTTAGGCTGAGTCCTTCTATTGATGAAGAGTTTTAGGAATTTGTTAATTGAGTCTATTTTAATTAAATGTAAAGTTCTTTTCTACCTCCAATAATAAGCTATATAAGAACTCTACAAAAGTTTCTTCTAATATCACTTCATCATAATGCATATTATATTATTTTTAAATCATTAATTTTATTCATACATAGTATTAAATTTTTATTTAAAATTTATATCTTAAAAATTAAAATATTATATTAAATTTACTAAAAATAAATAATATGAATGGCATATTTTTAGAGTTTGCTTTCTCTTTTTTTTTTTTTGAATAATATATAATTATTTATAGTGTTAATTTGGAGAGAAGGAAAGGAGAATCTGTGGGGGTTGAACGTGCAACTTACCGAAGATGAATAGTTCTAATTCAAAATCTAATGCCACTGGACTAGAATGGACCGTTCTAGAGTTTGCTTTCTTGATTAAACTTAAAAAAAAAAAAAAAGATAATAAATTTGAGAGGAAGAGGATAGCCTCACATTCAGGTGTCTTTATTAGGGGTTAAAATAGTTCAATCTAATGCAGACTTTTTTTTTTTTTTTGTTATTTTTTACAAAGTAGTTTCAATTTTAAGGACTGAATCTACATAATATTTACTTTTTAAAATATTAATAAAAAAATTGTTTCCAATCCATCGTCTATATATAAAAAGTTAATTCCTCATTGTCCGCGAGCTTCGCATGCGTGGAGTCCTGTACCATTCAAAGGCTGTTGTGGTTGTCGTTTTCACTGAAGTAAATATCAGGGATGATAATAACTGCAATGTCTGGAACTGTAGAAGAAAGAAAAGTAGTTGTTGACTATAAATGAAGTCCACTTCCGTCTTCTTTGCTTTTCGGAAATTTATGCCACCATGATTGATGATTAAATTTCCACCCATGAATCTTCACTGCCTTTTCATGTTAAAATGAAGTATGGGCAAGTAAAATTGATTGCCTATATATAGAATATTGATCAAGATAAAAGTCATAATCAAAAGGGAAAATGATTGTAATTTTTTATGAATTTTACATAATTTTTATTTTTAGTGTAAAAAAAAAAAAAAGACTATAAGTTTTGAGACTTTAGGTGCAAACCTATTGAAAGTTGATCAGGGACTTAAACGAATAAGTTTGAAGTTATAGGATCAAAGTGCTTATAGAGTAAAAGTTGAAATCCAAGAACTTACAAAATATCCAATAAAACCCGACACGGCCTGGGTGTTGACGCTACCTGGCACGTATAGACACCATTAGTTTAGAATTTGTCGTGACTCAGGTGAGTGTCTGGCCGACACCTCACTGGGGTGTTGAATCCTATTTTTCAAAAATTTTATTTAGAAGTTTCTATTTTATAAAACATTATATTAACTTTTTTTTTATTTTATTTTAATATTTCTAAAAGATAGTGAATATTAATTCAACTTTAAAAAAGTTATAAAAAATATAATTCCATTAAAATTAAATTAAGTTAAAAGATATACTAAATGTTTATATATATTATAACTAACTTAAAAATCAATTTATATGGTTTACTTTGAATATTTGATCAAGAGTTTATATTTCAAAATATTTTTTAGAGAATGATATTATTAAATTGTGCTTTGATTTTTTTTTAAAAATTAAAATTAATATGTATTAATTTTATATTTTTAAGTAACTAAATGAAATAAAATACAAACATAATGAAAAGTTAATTACTGATGGCCTGGCACCATTCAAAGGCGCGTGTTGTTGTCGTTGAAGGTGAGGTAAATATCAAGGATGATGGTCACCGACACCGTAACAAAGATTGTTTTGGAATCGGCTTAAAAAATAAAAAGAATTAATGTTTTGGAAAAATTATTGTTGACTTGAGATGAAGTCTCCCGCGGTTTTTGCTTTTTGCTTTTTGCTTTTGAAAATTCGTGCCACCAAGATTGATGATTCCATTTCCACCCCTGTAGCCTCTTTGATGATGAGATGAGGGATAGACTTAAAAATTTTTTTAAATCATTCTGTGAAATTTTACATATTTTCCTCATGTGGCTTCTGTTGAACAAGATGGCTACATAGAACTTTTATCAATATAAAAAGTATAATCAGAAAGGAAAATATAGATAAAGTAACGGGTTTTGGTGCTCATGGTAATCAAATACAAGAGAAAGAATGATTGAGTCTGTGATAAGTGA